GTGTGCTTGTGTCATAAATATGCCTCAGTGTTTCAGCATCTTTATTAGAAAGCTGCTGCTATTGTTTACAGTCTGTGTCATTTATTGGAGGAGGTGCATGAATGAGGATCAGCTGAAATCGTTCTGCTTTATCTCTGTGGAGTTTCACATGTGACAGTGGGATTAGAAATGATGAGAACAGCTACTAAGGAACCAAAGCTTGAAAAATGTGACTGCGTATGATGACATCTGTTATGATATGACAATATAATAACAAGCAGCTGATGAGAAAATCAGGTTGAATTAAGTTGACACTGTATAAAGGAGGATCAGAGCTGTTCAACACTATTATAAAATCATTTATTCTAAATGTGTTCAGTATATTTCTATTATGTTTTTTACAGGACTCCAGTAGCCAAAAGGTTAGAATAATTTGTTCTGCCATAACACTGTCATCTGTAGGCGACAAAAGCACTCTGCTTAAGTACATGGTTTTGGTTTTATGCAAATGTGAATAAAGGTTGTGTCTGATGCAACTATGAACTTTTTCTGGATTCAACCAGACCAGGCTCTTTCCTGAACCCTAACCAGGTGATCTGAGAGTCTGAACCAATGACTGTGAATATGTCAACACGTCTCCTCTTCCTCCTACTGTACACAAATTGAACTAAAATATCAAGGATATGCATTTTCCACCAATCATGAGTCAGTCTCAGCTGTCAATCATGATATTTCACCCTATGTAATCAAATAATTATTTTAAACCAAAAAATGTGCAAAAATCAGTAGAAATCAGTCAAAATGCATTTTACGTGTTTACGTCTATGACTTATACTGCAGCCAGCCACTAGGGGGGGATAGAGATGATTTTGCTTCACTTTTTGGAGCTGTAATGTTTTAACATGCTGTCCATACAGTCACTTCTTACAGTGACGCATGATGTGATCAGATATTTGGGTGTAACAAAACGCATCTAAATATTTCACTGAATTGTTCAGTCTCAACATATTTGCATTAATTATGAATGTATGTTTGCAGAAAACGTAATGGATGCAACATTTTGTACAAAACAAATTTGCTTTAGTCTCACTGAAAAGAATCAATTGTATATACGACTGAAATCATGTGGACAAATGTGAGTGCAGTTTATGTAGATTGATTGCTGTCTCAGACATAGAGTTTCAGATATATCACATCATACTTTGTGTGTTGGCTGTGTTCACATTATCGCATCATGATTCTAGGATTTCTGTTTTCTGTCCTCACATGTTTGCATTTGAGTTCTTGCCACTGCAGCAACATCGCTGCCAAAATCATTTCTGCTGACACACGTAGGATATTTCAGCTTGATTTTTTTTTATCACTTCTGGAGCCACAGCATCATGGTGTAACTCTGATTCAGCTGCAGCTATTACTGCGTAGAGGACTTCTTGCTCCACAGAGTGGAATGATTCCTGATTTCTAGTGTGTGATGGACACATAAAATACAGGAGGCGAGCTGGAAATCCATCAGTCCACCTCCCCCCCCAAAAAAAAATCCAGTGAGAGGCATCTTCCTGTTGTGTATTTTGGAAAATAACTTCAGAGGTCAGACTCTGCCCTTAACTGAAGTTACTTTTCCGTTTCAGCATCAAGGTTACACTGTTTTTTTTTACTTTCAATGAATGATCTTTAAAAAATCTGAGGAAAGGTCATGATTTCCAAAAAGAACATATACGAAAATCATGCTGCATTGAATCTATAAGCATTAATTATACTTCAAGTGCTGTTTTTTATGTTAGTCAGTTTAGGGGTCTATTACCAAATTTCCATTGTAATTCTCTACAATAAGTTGTGGAAAAAGAGTCATAAGTATAATTGTGTTAGTTAATACAACTGTGGAAGAGACCAGATATTATTTGAGCAAACTGCAACTAGCAACCAAATACTTCCTGTTTACACCAGCAGTGAGATGGTGTCCAGTAAAAATGGCGTCACACTTTGTTTTGTTTCCTTTGCTCAGCTGTCATTCTTCCTTTTGCTCATATCGTTCCAGAGACAACATGGCGACGTCCCTCCTCGTCGGATGAGGCCCTGCGGAGTCTGCTGGCACGGCAGAACTCCTCACCATATGGTAAAAACTGAGCCTTCATCTCCACAGCGTTTCATTTTTTTTAACAGATTCTCTAAAAGCAGCAACATGTAGGAAACAAAATCACGACAGAGGAAGCAAGGGAGTCTCATAGAGGGTTTAAAGGTTAGGAAGAGTATTAGGAAAATAGGCAGTGAGATGAAGTATAATTTCTGTTTTCATCAGGTAAATTGTTTCCGTTTATGACAGTTGTTTCCGTTTGAAGCACCAGGCCATGACTACATGTCTCAGCAGTTTTCCAGTCCGACAGATATAACCTTCTTGAAACCGTTCACCAGCAGCAGGGATCTGTTTTTTATAAGACTCCTTCATCTGAAACAAACATAGTACAAGTGATCACATTGTGTTCCCAGGAAACTGACTAACAAGTTCCCAAAACCTCAGACATGGTCCTTGTACATTAAACGTCTCCTGAACCTCAGGTAGCGCTGCTGGAAGAAATCCTACATTTTCTTAATGAGCAGCTTATTATGTTTCCCCGCTGCCAGCTTCCTCACTAACAACATCTCAGCAGATAACAGATGGTTTTCTTCTTCCTGCTGGCACGCGGCCTAAACACACTTTCTTGTAGAAGAAGAACCGGCGCAGAGGCAGGCGGCTGCGGGGGTTGGAGGGGGCCGTTGTCAGCATTAGACCAGACAAGTGTGATCCTCCTCGGAGAGGGCGAGAAGTTTAATGAAGGCCGGGTTCAGATCTGAAACGGCTCGACGTCTGTGCCAGCCTCTGGACAGGAAACCGGGGATATGACCAACTGGGCCAGAGAGGGAAAAATAATGATGCAGCATCCGAAGGGAAGTAGATGAGATAACAGTGAACAGGGCACGTGCCTGAGCATCACAAACGAACAAATACACATATGAACACAAACAGGATACACACTAGAAATTCTTAAAAAGCACAAATATGCTATCATGTCGTTGTTTGCACAAAGAAGTGCGGTCATCAAGAATTTCTCACCGATTTACTAAGATCCTCGTTTATTCTATAACAATATCATTTTCACGTTATATCACAAAATCAACTTCTCTTGTCTCTTGTCAACTTCTCGTCTCAACTCGTTTTAAAATATAGATGTAAAAAAAAGGTTGATTTAGTGTCAAGTTATTCTTTGAGGTAAAGACATGTTTGTATCAGTCTTCGCATCTACAGTCGGACGGTCTGAGACCCCTAGAAAGAGGCTGAGACTATTTCTTTAATTGTTTTTATGACACAAACGAGTCAGACGTGTGTGAAGCCTAATTTCCATCATAAAGCACTTTTGAGTGTGAATGAAGCCCTGTGCCTCACTATTACTCTCATCCATCACATCTGTGCATGCTAAATTTTACTGGTCACCGAAAGAGGTCACTGAAGGTCGTACATGTCTTGATGCCTCATTAAGCAAAGCGACTGCCTCTATGCTTTGAGTCACCTCCGTTTTCCTGCAGGCGGACCTGGTCCGGCTCTGACCATCGTCCACGGCTGTGACGTGTGACCTGAGGCGGCACACTCTGCCGGGCTCACGTGTTTACCTTCAGCTGGAGATGGGCCGATTTGATATGCAATGAGCTGACAGCTCATGAATCACAGGCGACGAGGAACCATTAAGGGCATGTAGGCTGAAACCAGGGGTGTTACTACAGAACTGCTCACAGAGCTGTGAACTCCCGCAGGCTCATTCTGATTAATGACATCTAATGTGCTTATATATAGAAAGCAACTACACATTACTAAGCTAGTGCTATAAATTATCTTTAAAGAAAATGAATGAAATGCACATTTTTCCACTGCTTAATACATTATGTTCGAATGTCAAATATCAAACTGTCTGTAAATAACCTCTCTTCTTTATTTTTGTTGAATTGTCATTTGCTGACTCCCCATCTGCTCATCATTAATGAGCCACTGCACAATAGTGAGACTCCACCCATCAATATTATAATCAATAACATGTTGATCATGATCTGTTTGTCTTCAGCCAGTGGGAGCCACGGCAGTGCAAAGACCAGTCAGCCCCCAGAGATCACTGATGTTCCTCTGAGGAGGTCGACCATGAACAAACAGGTATGTGGTATTAGCCAGAAATGGCTATTTTACAGTACAAATTGTTGGTGTACAAAGCAGTATCAAAGATTCAGGAATATGAGGCTTCATGTGATGAATTAGCTTTTAGTGCTTAAAGGTTCAATGTGTAGAATTTAGTGACATCTGAAGTTGAAGATTCATGTTGCAGCTGAAAACCCCTCACCGCACTCTCCTCTTACAAACATGAAAGAGAACCTGTGGTAGCTTCAGTTTTCACAAAACTCAAAAGTGGTTTAGTTTGTCCTGTTTGGAAGACTGTAAAAAACATGGCAGTCTCCGTAGAAAGGAACCCCCTCCTTGTAAATATAAGTATTTAAATATACAGGGGCCATTCAAGGGTAAAGAAAATTACAACTCATACAATTCAGATGAAACACACAAGTGAAAACATTGCTAGGATTATTTTACATTCAATTTCTTCCAATAGATAGCTTTCGCCTAAATCTTACACACTGGACCTTTGACGGATAAGGAAGTAATCATCATCTTGGATGAAACCAATGTTGATGGTTGGAAACGGCAAACAAATAGTGATTTTCTATCTTAGAAATCTGATGTTTTGTCATCGTGTCCATCCAACACAACCCTGGCTCTTGTGCTGCAGATGGGTAGGATTCATAGGTCCTACTGTTCCAAAAGTGTTTTATCACTTGAACCATTTACTGAAATTACAACTGCTGACGTTTTTCTCTCTCTCATCAACAATGACTTTGATTGTTAATTGTTTCGCAAGGTAAATGTGGGACATACCCACTTTCCAGCTTCTGAAATGTGAGGATTTGCTGCTTTATATTTATATTGCTTATTTGGATTGTTTCACTTGTAAACCAAAAATATTTTAACCTATTTGGACCTTGGACTCAGCTGACTAAATCTTTCATTTTATAGAACAAAATATAAATCAAGATAGTAAAACAGCTGGAGTCCTGAGTACTGTTCATGGGGCCTTTATGCAGAAACATCAAAGCCCCCCTTGCTGCAACGTTCACGATTTGATTACAGTGTTTCCATGAGATAAAGCTGCCGCAGTCTGTTCAGTGGAGGCAGGGCTGCTCCCGCAGCTCTGATGAACCTGGGCCAACGTCCATTACATGCCAACCCACGTGACTGTTTGCAAGTCAGATGAGGGCACACCGGAGCGTATAGACGGACAGACCCTGGGTCCACATGGGCGACTGAGGTTTGGATGTCACATGTAAGAGTTTGACAGTTTTGGTAAAGGAGTCCAGCCAAGACTGTCGACGCTCACGCTGGGAGCACTGGGGCAATGGATCAACCCCCTACCCCCCAAAAATACCACCCAAAAAACAAACCTGGACTGGGACTGTGGTGATCAGAGCTGCCCTCCGCCATGTTCTGTACAGCGAAGGTGAGAATGTGAGTAGATGTCGGGTTTGTTGAGGCTGCGATGGTGTTGTTGGACCAGCGCAGGCGGATGTTTTGAGAAGGCGTGAGCGCAGCACTGATCATGTGCGTTGTCCAAGCTGCTCGGCTGTGCACACGGCTGGTGTTGGTTTGACGCCTCGGGTGAAACACTGTCACATGAAGAGATGAGAACGATGTAGCTGTCTTGTACACACATACTTACCATAAGCACACAAATACCTGTATTTTTTCTGTTGTATCTTGACATCCTGACTCTGAATTTGCCTCCACACACACACCTATTTAACCCCTTCAGTCTCACACACAAACACACACATTTCCCACACACTCAAACACGCTGCATCTAATTGGTTGCCTATTTTCCCTACTGCTCTCGCTCTCCTCCCCCTCGTCCTGTTTCCCTCCCAATCGTAATTAGTCTATTAAAGATCATCATTCAGCCATTTCCATCAAACCAACCCCTACCGCTGCCACCACCACCTCCTCCTCTGCTGCTGCTCCCTCCTCCTTCACTATCAGGCTCTCTGGGGAGGGAGGTGTGGCAAGGATCATGTAAATAAATCCCCCTCATCCTCTTCTGGCTCTCTTAACTCAGTTTTTCCATTTCCTTTTTTTCATGCCCTTTTCCCCTTCACATTTCGCATCTTCATTGACCAAGGCTCAGTGTTTGGTGAGGAGGGGGGGGGCAGGTGCCTATGCAGAGCCCCCTCACCTCCTTGCAGCCTTCAGATTCAGGACTCATGTGGCAGCAGCTTAACCGGAGGCTAGACTTCGTCACGCTTCCCTACACCTCCTCCTGCTCCTCCTCCTCCTGCTCCTCACCCCTAACGCTACCTTCCCAGTGCTACAGCAACCCACTCCCCCTCACCTCCCCTCCCCCTGCAACGCAACTCCCCTCCACTCGCTCTGAAGCTTGGGAGACTGAAGGCAGCCTTGGTGCGTGGAGGCAGAAAGAGACAGAGAGAGAGAGAGAGACAGGAGAGGGAGAGAGAGAGAGGCTTTCCCAGAATAGAGAAGCAGGAGGAGGAATAGAGGGATGATGATGGAAGCCAGCTTTGACACTGAGGAGAGTTTTGACGATCCCTCCTGTCTCGCCCCCCAGCCCCCCGGCTCCATCTCCCCGGCCAAGAGGCAGATCAAGGAGGTCAAGGAGACCAAGATCACGGTGAGTACCCAAAAACTTAATCCTCCTCTCTTCTCCTCCTCCTCTCCTCTGTCTCTCCATCTTCATCTGCATGTTCCTCAAATAAATTCATCCCTCATCTTCTCTTCTCTCATCTGTTGACGTTGTTTGTTGTGCATCTTTGGTCCTCGTGGAGCAACATGGGGCTTCCCTGCGTGTTGAACATAAGTGTGAATGAGGAGAAGAAGCAGGAGTTGTGCACTTCATTGTGTCTCCCTGACTTGACTGATCTCAATCTATAAGATTGATCTCATGCCAGCCACAGATGAATTTCTCCTCTCGAGAGGCTCAAACACGTTTCTATCCTGCAGAAACATTCCTGAAGTGTGTGTAAAGAACGGAGCTGATCCGGTAGCCTGTACACTAATGTTAGTATTTTTAGCAGATGTCTGCCTGTCAGATGCAGAAGTGATCTCCGAGTGTTTTTGTCACTGAGTTGTAGAATTGCATTTCCCCTTTTTTCTCTCCGATGGGTCACACAGAACTGCTGTTGCTGCTGCTGCTGCTTTTCATCCAGCAGCATTGTTTGCTCTGAGTAGAATTGATGCTGCAAACTCTTCACTATTAGCACGGATTAAATGTTCTCTCCACTAGGATACAATCTGCAAAGTGAAATGCATCTTTGTTTCAAGATGCCCGGACAGTAGCTGTGGTTATGTAATCGTTTAGTCCATAATGCCATAATGATGGAGGGGAGAGAACTAAGGATGAGGCAAACGTGGCAGTTGTGGTGGTGATGGTGAATGAAGGTAGGCAGACGGGGTTTTTGTGTCTCGCAGGTGTTGATTTTGCGCACGGTGGGCTGTCCGTCCTGCTGCAGCCGCGGGAGCTGTCAGTCTGGCTATTGTGAAAAACCCCAACCAGACCCTGCGAGGGATGCAGCAAGTGCAGTTTCCATGGTGACAAAAGCAATAGCACAGATTAATGGGTGTTGAAATGGAAAATACTGGCATAGAAGCTGCTGCTGGTGGTGGAGGGGCTATAGAGCCATTCAGATATTCAGTGAAGACATTCAGTTTGAAATAAAAAAAAAATCCTCCTCTTTCATTGCACAGCCTCTATAAAGGATCTGAATGTACATGAGAGCAGTTGTTTTCTTTCATAAATAAATGTTGACATGTGAGAATGTGCAGCCGTGTAAACCAGAATCTTGCACAATCCGTATTTTTGCTGCAGAGAACGGAGCTAGATAAATAAAAAATAAAAAAATGGTTATAAAGGTGAAATTTACAGTTGTGTCTGGATGACGTCAGTCCACGAAGGTGTCTTTTTGTTCGCCACGATGCACCTCACATTACACAACCCCTCCACAGTTGTCATGGAGACGCACACATCAAAATGGACCCCCGCGGGATGCTGAGGTGTTGCACGTCAGATTGAAGAATCAAAGCCCCACTCCAGCTCTGTCACCTTGTTTTCACCTTCGCTGTGGTTCGGCCAATCAGACCAGATTCTTCAGTTTCAGCCTCGGATGTTTTTCAGCTCATTAAACATTCATTCAGTTTGACTTGTTGCTTTATATGCCGCCCGTTAAAGGGTGATGCCTCGATGGCGAGACTGGGACGCAGCGTTTCATCTGGTCAGAGAATAAGAGATGGGAGGAATCAGGGGTGATAATGAGAGGAAATCTGAGATTGCTTTGTAATGGGAAGGTGTGCATATGTGTAGAAGTGGGGGGGTAGGAGGAGGAGGATAGAGGGGTCTTCTCCAGCAAAAGTAATTTGTTGCTTAGCAACAGTGGCAGAGCATCCTACAGTCTCATTTGATGAAATATTCTGCTTCTGATGTTGGAGGTAGATAGAGAGGAAGTGTTGAAGTTGTTTGATGGCCAAACCGTTGTTTCTCTTATGGGCCATTGGTTCTTGGACTGTGTCATATTTTTTTTTCCTCTAAGAAAAGAGAGCAAAATACAAACATAAAATGTGTAATGAAATAAACACAGCCTATAGGCAGGATGCACATCCCTCATGAGGCTGCATGTCTATGAATTTTGAGTGAGAACAAAATGTCCCAGTTCACTCGACAAATCTCTACAGTTGTATGTTGCTCGCAGCTTTGTTTTGTGCCAAACATGGCAACACAGCGTGTCACAGCATCCCACGTTCCAGCGGCTGGACTTCAAACATTCCCACAACGGCCTCCGAGTCCTCAGAAGGATTTATCACACGCTGTGTCATGAAGGTAATCTGTATTAATATTTTATTCCCAGCCCTGGAGTACCTCGCTGAGCGGCCGTAAAGGAGAAGTTCACCAGACAGCCTCCCTGTAGATGAATGGTCTCATTTTCTGCAGAGTGTGAGAGGCTGATAAACAACAGTCATGATAGATGTGCCGCCAGCGTAATGGAAAATCTGGTGCCCGTGACAATCAGTATGATCTCTGAGGCAGAAAATGAACAAAGTGACTGGTTGGGACGAGGAGTAAATCACACCGCTGCTCCTCCAGATTACAGCCGGTTACTGTGTCTCTTGTTTATGCATATCCCTGCTCGCATTTCACTTGTTCTCTGTCGTATCGGCATGCACGTTTGGCACGAAGCCATATCAGTAGTTCCTCTGGATGTTGGTGATTATATAACAGATGAAAGAGTATTACTCATCTGTTGGTGAAGTTGTTTACTGGAGATGAAGTGCTGCAGGGGCAGAGTAAAGAATGAAGAGGTCAGTGTCCAGTGTTCATTGGAACTTTTGGCATTTTGTACAAATCGTGATGACAGTAAGAGAGAAAAGAAACTTTTACACCTTCATTGTTTGGTCAGGACCTTCAGACTTTTCAGTTTAATCTAAACCTAAATAGGAAAAGGTTCCTTAGACTTCTGTCCAGAACAATGGACCAAGCTTTAGTCTGACCAAAAGAGGTCTTGATCAGAATCAAACTAAAGTAAAAGTCAATATAGTATAATTCAGACTTTCAGACCAATTGCAGAAAAAGAAGCGGGTTGAAGCTCGCTTTATATCTTGTAGCCTTCACCTCCGATGATATAATGCTTGAACAAGGGAAACATTCATTTTACTGGTAGTAAAATCTCAATGAAATTACAGTTGCAATGAAATTAACCAAATGAGCCAGTTCATTAATTTTTCCATTCAAAGAGAAAGATGAGTTCCTGCTGAACTGACAACACACTGATGTCAGACACACCAGGTCTAAAAACCAATCAATGTCAAGTAAAGGGAGACGCAGCCCACGTAGGTGATGACGACAGGATGTGCGAATGTCATACAACGTTCTTTAATAGTAGTAGTTTAGTAAAAGTAGTCTGCTCCCTGCATTACAATGTGAAACTAAAACTAACCAGATCAAATGTAAGAGAGAGAGATGTTACACATTAAAGTAGCCCCATATGTATATATTTTTTAATTTAAATATGTCAGATGTAATGGTGCGATGTGGAAAACAAATGAAAATGAACAGCTGCTCGACACTGGCTGGTCCTCTCTCTCCACACACTGCAGGTGTGAGGCTTTCAGTAACCCAGACATGTGAAAAGTCAGCTGTCAGCAAAACACCTTCCCAGCAACAAACAGACACACAGTGCATTACAAGATTCTTTTACAAATAGAACTAGGATGACACCCAGCAGAGGGCAGACCTCTGACTACAGAAACCGCATTTCAATTCACAAAATCCATTTTTATTTGGATCAGCACCAAACTCTACACCCCCCCTTAACATGTACTGCTATGTCTAGTTCCCTGAGAAATAAGTGAAAATGTAGAAAAATGCTTCACAACGTGTTGGAAAGTGAAAAAGAGAATCCCTGTATCCCCCCTGTTCCAGATCTGGATAATGAGCTCTTCCCTGACTGACCCATACCACATCCGTCCAGTTTCATAGAAATCCGTCCACATTTTTGCGTTATCTTGCTAACAGATGGAAATATAAGCTCCTTGGCAGAGGCCCTCAGAGAGCGTATACCTCAAAAATTCCTTGATCTCCCCCTTAATTGAATCTGCTCCAAAATGTAATGTCTTCCACCAAGTGTTAATGAAATTGCTTTAGCGGTTTTTGCGAAATTCTGCTGACAGACAAAGAAACGCAGATAAAATCATAACCTCATCTTAGGTGGAGGTAATTATCAGTGCTACTTTCTGTGTCATTTGTTCTGCACTGGACTGCACGTTGTTTGAAAGTCTCTTGGTTTTTATCCCTGTGAATCATTTAAGGATCCTCACGTCACTGCAACAGCTGCTGACACAGAATTGGTTGAGACTTCACAGGCCTTATGTTCCTGATATTCCCTTGTTAATGCCATGAAAAGAAGTGTGTCTGTAATTCTGGCTCAGTGTCTCTGAAACTTATTGACCTCTTGGTTGTAAAACTTAAGTCATGACTATAATTAAAATCAGTACATTATTCAGGCCTCTGCACAAAAATGAGGGCGTCTGTTAAGGGGTTAATGGCACAAATACATGTTCTGATATGGGGTTTTACTGTCACACACTCCTTCCTAAACCCAAGTAGTCAGTGTCTCTGAGCTGTTTCTTCTTCAAGTGCCCCTGCCTGGCAGCACAATAAAAGGGCTCGAATCCCAGCTTGGCCTTGTGGAGTTGGTTTGTTCTCCAGAAGGGTTCTTTTTAGGTTTGCTCCCATTTCCATCCACACTGTCAGTCCCACAATACGCTGTCGACCTGTCCAGGGTGCACGTCACCTCTCGCCCACTGTCAGCTGGGGTTGGCTCCGACTATCCCCACACAGGTTTGCAGAAGTGATATTGGATGCATGGATGCCCCCTGTTTAGCAATTATATATTAACAGAAATATATTAAAGAAACATGTTTGTCCACTCTGCAGTATAGTTGTAATATAGTTGTTAACGATAAAGACATTTCAAGTGTTTATTAACATGCAGTCAACAACTAAAACCTCCTTCTGAACACCTAGTGGTGAATTGCATTTTGGACTCCAACATATCATGGGAATGTTTATGGGCCAAAATCCTGTTCATCGCGGTCTTTTGTTCAGCCTCTTGCTTCCCTTTGGTGTTCTTTGTAAACTGCTGACCCGAGCTGGCAGAAGAGACTGTCTCCTGCCTTTATTTTGAAATCTGAAAGGGAAAAGAATGAGGAAAGTTCGCCTGAGTGAGCTGGTAAACGCTGCGTGTGTCTCCTTCAGTCGGTGTGACGGCAGTACAGTGGGGAAACTCTGCAAACCCTGTGACACAGTGTGTGTTTGTGAGGCATCCTTGTTTGGATGCCTGTGCAGTTTGCAGCAGCGGTTGACACGGCACACAGGGTAACTGGCCCGTGCCAGGAGGGAGGGCTAACAGACGGTGAACATTACATAATTGAAGCCCCTAAAGTAATTGAAGATGCTGCCGACTGTGGAGTCTGTATTCAGGCTGAGTGTTGGCTGTGTTAATCAGCAACACCACGGATTCTCAAGTGAATAAAGTTCATTTGTTTGAATCGAGGGATGCAGGAGAAAAGGTTTCAGCCGGTCTCTCGGTTTTTCCATCTCTGCCCCCTGAAGGCTCATAGGTCACCTTCTGCACGGCCAACATTTACATGTTTACTCATGTCTGACCTTTTCCCCTCTCATTTGCATGACCCAAACAAAACACACAGGCCTGTTACCTCACTCCATCCGAGAAATATTTCAGCATCCTACAGTGTGCGTTTGGCTCTCAGCCTTTAGCAGCTCTGGTTTGTCACTGTTTCATCCTCGTCTCATGTGTTTTTTGTTTTGTCTTCTCTTTGCTTCAGATCAACTGTGTGACGTTCCCTCTGCCTGGAGAAGGTCCGGAGCAGCAGCTGCTCAAACCCAGCGAATGGAGCTACTGCGACTACTTCTGGGTGAGACTGTAGTAAAATATAGCAACACAATAAACCAAGTGAAAAACACAGCGATCACATATGCACATGCAGTGGTAATTACACGTACAAAACCTTTTCTGAGAGCTCAGATGTATCTGAATTTAGCTGAATTTAGGGTCCAGACGGAGTTTTCCTTTCACATATGAAGAACGCAGCAGGAGATTGTCTGAGTCAGATGCGTTCACAACAACAGGAAACTATCAAGCCAGGGGTGTCGCATGTTAGAAGCGTCATCGACCCCCCCAAACGCTCAAGGGGATCCTCTGCCGTGTTCTGACATCGGATTGTTCCAACTTTATGTGTTCAGTCTGAAATACAAATACAAACATGGTGTCCTTCAATATGAACACCTCGTATCAACTGAAGTCCATTGTTTAATGTCATTAAAACCATAATCTTTAGTCACCATAGCTGCAGCAGTGAATGCTTGCAGATGGTCCCAGTGGGAATCTTTTCCATCTTTATGTTATGACATCGATATTGAAACAAGTTAAGCTTTTTATCTATTTTGCAGTTTTTAGTATTTAAAATTAACCTAAAACCGACAGAACAATGTAAACTTCACATTATTTTCTGACCCAAACTACAAACCCTTGGATTGTAAAAAGAAAACTGCCTCCACTTCCTCCTCTTAAAGAAAAATAAAGCTGTAATATCTTGGAAAGGAATGCTGCCCTCTTGTGCCAGAGTAGCCAGCGATAGTGGTGTGAAGCCGTGGCATTACGTCCACGCACTTGACCATCCTTTGTCAGCGTGTTGTCCATCTTTCTTCACAGTCTATGATTCAACCAAACATTTTCCACTTTGTGCTGTTTCTGCACAGTTTGTGTTTTCGTCAGGTGACCGCTCGCGGTAAAGCTGCAGAAGGTTCCTGTCAAAATGTTCTGTTGACCTTTACAACATATTCACGCTGGTAAATGCTCTCTGCCGCTGAAAGCTAAACAATTCAATTTGACTGAATTATGTGAAGAAAACACGGCAGGTACAGTCGATACACTTTTTGCTTTTTTTTAAAATGGATCCAACACTTTGCTCTAATTTAACATAAGATGTGTTTTGTTCTCATGTTGGAGGATCACAGGAGGACGACTGATCGACCGGCTTCTCTGCAAACACACTGAATCTCCTTTTTTCTAATGTCTCCCTAGTGGCTTTTGTAATTTTCACTTTCCATACATTTCCATTCTAAATTAGATCTGTATTGAAAACCCCTCAGGCTGCTTATTGACTGAATTCCGACTTTTTCCTCCGTCTGCTTCTCTTCTTGTTTGTGGCCGGTAGTGCTCCGCTACTCGTGGTGGTTTGTGCTTCTGAAGCATAAATCCTTCACCTCGGTTCCACATGGCAACGCACATCATTCACTGACTCCTGTTTGACATTTCTTTGTTTAAAAGCACACATGATACCCATCCACCCTCAGTGATTGACACACACACACCAACGCATGCCCTCCTCGACATGCAAGTGTGACTCACACGTTCATGCTCATAGTTTCTGACTCATCCTCACAAACCCACATGCTCTCGAATGTAAACAACAGAGCAGAGACTCTGCTGGACGTTCTGACCATGAGCTCATAGCTGCAGTCCTCCGTCTTTGAATGATCCTCTCCTCTTCCTCAGACCGACAAGAAAGACCCCCAGGGGACCACCTCTGTGGCGGGCTTCGAGGTCCCTCTGCAGAAGCAGCTGAAGGGCAAGCAGATGCAGAAAGAGATGGCTGAGTTTGTCCATGAGAGGTAACAGCTTCACCGTCAGAGAGACTGGATTATACGAAACTAAATGACTTTGTTTATTTTATATTTTATTAATTCAGAGCGTCAGACACAGAGCTGGAGGCACAAATGTTCCCATTTCACCATGTTAGTTAAAACAGATGTTAGTTACATGAAATAAGCTAAACAAAGACAACAATGGTTTGAAATTAGAAGGTGAAGCAGCTGCTTTATATTTTAGTGAAATCTTTATGAATAAGGCTTTTTGTCATTGTCAGAAAATCCCATTGAAAGACCCAAACCATCAATGAATGGATAAAGTATCTGTTTATCTAAAGTCATGACATCTCGTTCCTCACTTAGCTCCATTGTTTCCAAATATTCAAACAAATCAATGGAGGATGTCACCATGAACGGTCCAGACCCGCTGCCAGAGAAACACACAAATACAAGCAGAATTCTATAGAAGAATAGAATACAAAGAGACGGCCTTTAGGGTTAAAGAAATGTAAGTCGTTCAAATTACTCCTTTAAGCAAAATGCTTAATGTATTTCTCGGCTTCAGAGCTCAAACATTTTGGAATAAGCTGCGATAATAATAATAATAATATTAATAATAATGCAGTAGAAACCTAAAAGCTCATCTAAATCACAACCATCCTGTTTAGTGAGCTGATAACACGTCTTTTGTGCCAAATGTTTAATATGTTTTTTGTTAACAGAGCCAGAGAGTCCATCTTATCTTTTGGTTGTTTATTTTTTATTTATTTAGGATATTTTAATACTTTTCATTCTAATTCAAATTTGACTGAATTTTCTTTAGAATTAAGTTAATTGCTTGAAATGGTGAACTTGCATGATTATGCTCTAATATAATGAGAATTATACCAGTGGTTTGAAATGGTTTCACAACAATAACAATAATAACATTTATCCCAATCATTTTTGGGGCAAAATATTGTTCAACAATATTTGTTCTTGTGACAGGCCTACCTTTATATTTTTAAGAATGCACTGAGTTAGAGGTTTCCTTGTTCAGTTTACATCTTTGGTTCTCTGTGAATGTATTTCATATCCAAATTGTACAGTACAATTAAACATCCTGAACTGCATTGATATTCAAACAAATGAAATTGAATCGAACCCAGCCCTAGTCAAGAAATGACCAATGCATATAGGAACTATCAAAGGTATAATAGGTGTATTATTGAGGTGCCAAAAGGCACAGTGACATTTTCTGGGTGCACCTAAATTATGTGCTGGTGCATCTTAATGAAAAAGTTAGCCTGGAGCCCTGCATGTAATAGCAACCAGGATAGTAACAAGATGCTACTATTCAGCATAACCAGATTTATCTGAGTTCCATGTAATACTGCCTGCGGTGTGATCCAAACCGAGAATAGTCTCAGAGCCAGGAGAAGAAGACATTGTAGATGGATTTGTTGACAGTAAGACAGTAATTGTTTTGGGATTGAAAGTCTAGTTTTGTGGCATGGAGACAGATTTTCCTTTGAAACAGTAAAAACCAGAGGGGCACTCAGAGAGCTCATACTTCCACTAAGGCTGATTAGACTTTTTATCATGGTATTACACATTGAGATCAGGTACTTATTCTGCTCACATTAAACTGAATTTCCATTTTCTAAATTACTTAGAATAAATGATTGTTACTGTACTGAAACTGCATAAAGATCATCCCTTTAAAAACATATTTTGATTCACAAAATCAGGATCATTATCCAGATGTACACAGAATTTCACCTGTTCATAGATTGTGTCAATCTTCTGGATTTCTGAATTATTTCTTGAAAAACATCAAATGTTTAAGAAAGTGAATACAAATCGCAGGAAGATATGCCCACTGATCTGGACCAGATATTTATTGGGTTCCCCACTGACCCATGCCACTTTGTTCCCTCAAGTTTTGTGGTGATCTTTCTGTGGTTTTTGGATAATGTGGTAAGAAACAGTGAGACAGGGGTGAAAACATCAGTTAGTTCTTTGTCAGAGGTGACTGATGTTTTCACAGGAAGACGAGGCCGCTCTGAATTGTGATCATGGACTCAGTGTGGTGGACTGAAGCAGGGAGAGTTTTTCACAGCTCAGGAGCATCAACACTGGAGAAAGCATGAACCAGAGCAGTGACAAGATCTTAAACAGCCGGTGCAGGTCCACTATCACACAGAGACAGCTCTTTATATAAAGGCATCTGTTGGACGCTGGTCTCAGACTTTTGTTTTCCAGCTCAGGGCTGCAATTAATCCCTGAACCCATTCATTACATGGAGCATGTAGGGAATAGTTGCCAAGTTCCTGCTGAATCTGAGCCACAATGTCAAAAGCAACACAGAGAATAAAGCTTCTATATAATTAGCTCCATGTAATTCTACAGAAGCTCCATTCATGTTCCGTTTTGAGTCGTGGGAAGTTAATGAGAAAAGTTTCTCGAGATTCGAGAGGCCGCCGTCTCCCAAATCCTTCATGAGGATTCCTCATATCCAGCGCTGATGTTTTTTAATATCGCTATGCTGCTACAAGCCGCCAGTATCCCGACCGGTGGAGGATGTGAACGTCACAAAGGGCACAAATATGAGCACATCTCATTTCCATCTTTACAGACGACGGAACAGATGCTGAGTAAAATATCACTGCAGGTTTTTTAATTACAATCATAACGAGATTACGAATGCAGGAAAATAAAATCCACTGAAATAAAACAATAGAACCATGATAATTAAATGTAATGATAAAAAAATATGTGTTTAATGTATAGACTGTATAAATTGTCGTCCATCTTTATGCACAGTGTGAAGCAAAACCTGAATCAGGTCATTGTCATAGTCAGTTAGTTAATTAAAGGCTTTCTTTAAAAAAAGCTGTTTCCCCTCATATCTACAGGTCGTGTGCTCTATAGCTTTAGGTTTTAATTAACAAAGGCCGAAAAACGGCTGTGGTTTACAACATAAGATAAACCAGCAGCAGATGATCTCACTGCAGTAAATAAAAAGGTAGTGATGAAGCTCGGTCCTGAACCAATGAGCAGCTTCGTGTATGAAGAGGAGGATCAATCAGTTTAATGTTACAGGAGCTCAGCTTTGAATGAACTCTCTCAGCGTCTGCGTTTACATGGACACCAGGATTCCAACTACTGAATAAAGCTCAGAATAAGACTGGTGTTTACATGAGCTGCTAACGGAACATTCCATTCATATTCCTGTTTACATGTTAGAGAGCCTGATGATGATTTAAGTCAACAAGTCACTTCACTGACATGGTTTCTTTCCTCTCTTAAGCCAGGCAGCCTTCACATGTTTCTCTCCGTTTCTGTTTGTGTCTCAGGATAAAGATCGAGGAGGAATACGCCAAGAACCTCTCCAAGCTGTCTCTGAGCCCGCTGGCAGCGCAGGAGGAGGGGTGAGTGCGGCAAACGTTTCGCTGCGAGACGGCTTGAGCGGTGGTAGGAGATAGTGGCAATAATTAAGAGAACCCTGTCTAAAGATAGGATGCTTTAAAATAGACCCATTCCCACTGCCTGAGTCTGATGCACCATTCAAAGAAAGATTACTTGGTCTGTCACCAAAATAAAAGAGAAGTGTTTGCGAAGATCTCAGAGTCATTGAGATGAGATTTGTCTTGAGGAATCTTTTAAGATCCAGAAATTCCCTGATTATTTTCATCAATAAGAATGAGACTGAGGCGACATCCACACTACTGATGAGTTTTAGAGCTGCTCATACAGAAGACGTTTGGAGACTCTGTTCTGGTTTGAAATTTTAGTGTGGACGAGCAGAGACTGAGATGTTTCGGTCTTATCGGTTATAACTTAGCCTTTGCTGATTCATCAGGCTCTTATCACATGACCCCTCCCCCCTTTCTAAGGGAAACACCAGGCATTAGACTCTGCTTCCAGTGTAGAACATAACAATTCATAAACTACAAGTGTTGCTGACCCTTTGCTAACAGCTTTTGTGCATCTGACAATGATACAACATGTAGGAGACATGTTGTCCATGTGAAGGAGAGGAGCTAGTATTTAATCAATCTAACCATCAAATGCTTCCTGTTAACTCAGTATGCATGAGTAGTCACATGATATGCATTTTCAGGTGTGTTGGTATGAACAGGTTTGGATTAAAGCTGATACAGAGCTAAAACACTCATGTGGACAGAAATCATTTTAGTTTTTAGTTTTCAAGTGAAAGTGTAATAGTGTGGATGTAGCATAACAGACACTTGAGGGTATAGTTTGATACTTTGATACTTTTTCAATGTCATGTGTTTGAAAAGCTATCTCTGTTCGTTTTAATTTTGACAGTATCAAAAAGTACTGAAGTATATCAGCAATCAGGAGTCAGTTAAAGTACCACTCTGTAAAAATACAATCTTTTCTACTATGAGTGAATGTAACACTTCAAGTAAAGCCAGGAGATTTACTGAAAGTATTAAATGTAAAAGAACTCAACTATGCAGAAAAATGCCCCAACAGTCACATTAGATTATTATCAGTCATGCTCAGTTTTGTCAAGGACTGCAGCTAATGATTGTTTTCATTAAGGATTCATCTGCTGTTAATTTCATCTGCAGAGCGTTTGACTTATTTCATGTTGTTGTTTTCTCAGGACTCTGGGAGAAGCCTGGACTCAGCTGAAGAAGAGTCTCCACGATGAGGCAGAGGTTCACCTCAAGTTCTCCAACAAGGTAACTGCTCATGAGGGATTTTATTGTGAAAGCTCATCCAGAACTAAAGACAAGTAGCTTCTTAATCCAACTATTTTGACAACTGAGTCGATGTTTGTGTAATTTGTTAAAATTTAATCTTCTAGGATGTGGGATAACGCTGCTTTTCTCTGTCGTTACTGAAAGTAAACTGTATAACTTTGGATTTCTGCTTCACATTCAGATATTACAGAAAACATAGAAGGTGCCACTAATGACCCAGGGAAATTATAACGGGCATTTTCCCCAAATTTGTATATATTTTTAGACAAACCTAATAATAAAATTATAGAGAATGGATAAAAAAGCCAGAAGTTGAAATCTGGGCAAAGTCCCAACAAAACAAAGATTTTTAGATTGGAATTATCCGAGTTAATGGATAAAAATGAATATCAGTGGCGGATAAAACATCAGACAGTAATTTGCTAAATATGAATTGAGCTGATTACCACCACAGAGGAAGTTCTGTTATCTACTGTTTGTTTATCAGCAGGATTACACAAAAACTACTCAACCGATTTCCATGAAAAATGAGGGCTGGGAAATGACCTAAGAAAGAATCCAAAAAAATGTGGGTGCAGATCCAGGAATATTACCTTTACTTTCTTGACCATTGTGAGATTGTACAACAATTTGTCCCATATTCTCAGAGAATAAATCATGGATCTTGATGAAAAAAATGTCTAGTGGCTGATATCTATGAACGTGTATAATTTGGTGCAGATCCAAATTAAAATCCAGATTTAGTGAATTTGAATGTTGTCTCAGGGAGAGACTGTTGGGCAGTGGAGGCAGTAACTCTACTGAGTGACATTCTAATTGTAAAATATGATGCAGAAACAAAGGCAATGTACAATAAACACATAAACACACCACAATGTGTGTCGTGCATATTTGCAGGATTGTCTGAACTGCAAACTTGTCAGTGAGTCTCCTTTCACTCCTGTGTTAAGGCATTTAATGTTTTCAATCAGCTGCACTAGTTTGGTCTGATCCACCTCCCGAGGTGATGGGGCTAGTTTTCCCTGCAACCGTGTTGACCGACGAAGATGACCCGTCCCCCGTTCTAATTACCAGCGATGCAGAAACCACAGACTGGCCTCAGACGCAGCCCCTGAGCTCCTCACTGCCCCTGTTGTCTAATTAATTAGTTAAGGTTTTTGACGAGCCCCCTCCCAGGAGCATGCAGGCTCCACCAGCTCACTCCACGCCTCGATGTGAGGGGGTGGGGGTGGGGAGAAGGTAAAGTGCGGTCCAGTCAAGAATGAGAAATGGTTTTCAGCCTGCAGATGCTGCGGCTTATTTTCTTCTCCGACCCTCGCATTACATGACATCTATATACGCCTGTCTCACAACAGACGTGTTGACATGTCATCGTAGGAGAAAGCACACGTGTCACTGATAACATGACAGCTCTGCTCAGTTCAAGCATCCCAATAAGATATCACTATGTGACCGTGAGCCAGCGTGCAGAACACCAGGACCCTGAAACTTAAGTAGCTGAATGGAACTCAGCCATTATTACTTTCACTAAGAGGTTATGTCTGCAGGATTACACAAAAACTGCAGAACACATTTTCTTGAATCTTGGTGAAAGGGTTTGGGCCAAGGAAGAACTCAAGAATTCTTGAAGTAGAGTCGTTGAAGATTCAAGATTCAAGAGGTTTTATTGTCATTGTACAATAAAACGAAATATAGTTTGGTAGCTCTCTGCTAGCCAACAGCAATAATAATATTATAAATTAAATATCTTTTGCTGGGCCTGTTGGCCTGTATTTGACAAGACACAGAGTTACGTGTGAAAGGGGAACAGAGAGAGAACGAGGGTGACATGCAGTAAAGGGCAGCAAGCCAGAGATGAACCTGGGCCACAGCGGAGGCTTGGAGCCTCAGTATGGGGTGCCAGCTCCACCAGAGGCTTTTCACTTTCTTTAACATTGTGAGATAGGGTGTTACACTTGGCCCAGCGTTCCTCAGTTTACACCAGTGTTTTTCCTGACGGCTGCCATCTTTGTTATTTTAAGAAGATTATATTTCTGGATGGAGAACACACATGTATCATTTATCTGCAAGGGCTTCCTGGGAAGATAAACAAAAATTCAAAAACTTAATGTAGTATGTAAATCTGCCAATTTATTTTATAGGTTGAGTCTTTGGAATAAAGCAGAGAGTATTTATTCTTTTTATTTTTTTCGCCAATCTAACGCATTAAGACAAAGTGAAAACATCGTATAAGACATTTCTGAAAAGAATTGATTCATTTTCAGCGGTTTCTTAAAACAGAACCTGCAGCTACTCTGATCATTTCTGTTCTCACAGCTCCACTCTGAGGTAGAGAAACCTTTGCTGACGTTCAGAGCCGACAACTTCAAGAAGGATCTGAAGAAATACGACCATCACATCGCCGACCTCAGGAAGCAGCTGGCCAGTCGCTACGCCAGCGTGGAGAAGGTACTGAGACATTTACCCCGCAGAGTTTTTTTCTTTGAGTTAGGCTGCATTTCAGCTCGTTCCTCTTCTGTACGTACAGGCCAGTATTTTGCATCCACAATTCAATCTCTACTAAGACAACATGATGTAAAGAGCTGCAGTGACAGACACACATCTTAATACAGAACCTGATTGTTGCTTCTCACCAGTTAAATCATTTCATGAAGGATTTTGCTTTGTTAGAAATATAAAAATACTTTGTCTCCATCATAAGAAATGAACTAATACATATAAAAATGAGTTAAACAAACACATCAGACTAACATCATGATAAATAATATGAAAACAATAGTGTGTTAGAAAACAAATTTTTTTTATTTGAAAACAGTAATACTAAAATAAAAAATAACAAGAATTTAGTGCTCTTGTTGTGAACGTTTAAGGCCAGTGAAAAAAACCACATCAGATGTCAGTTTAGCTTTAAAGATGACCTAAAATATAATGTGTTCCAATACTATGATTACAGCAGCTTAAAATATCACAAACAACAAGACTACCATTAGTTTTATTAATGACAAAACAGGATTCCACTGCTTCATCCTTTCTAAATATGGGTAATCGTTTCTTTTAAACAGAATCTCTTATTTTCTCATATATCATGGAGACAAGAAACCGTTTTTTTCTGAAAATGTAAAATCTAGTTTGGTGTAGTTTTTTTTGCAGAATCTGTTTATTAATTATATATATATCTAAGAAACTGAGTTAAATGACCTTATCTATCTGTTGGAGAAAATAAAAGATTTTCTTGGCTTTTGTCAGACTACAACCTTGATGAGGTGTCTCTGTAGAGAATGAGAGAAAAGACTCAATGATGTGGATTAAGAAAAGGATGAGAGGATGAGAGCAGGATCTGAATGAGGAGATCAGTAGCCAACATGAAAAGGCAGTAATGACTCTTGCAATAGATGTAGGTCCAGTAAATCTAAGGATTTTATTGAATGACTCATTGTTTCTATGTGTGTGTGTGTGTGTGTGTGTGTGTGTGTGTGTGTGTGTGTGTGTGTGTAGGCTCGTAAAGCCCTGGCAGACAGGCAGAAGGATCTGGAGGTGAAGACCCAGCAGCTGGAGATCAAACTCAGCAACAAGACGGAGGAGGACATAAAGAAGGCCCGGCGGAAATCCACACAAGCAGGTCAGAGGTCACAGAGTCAGAGTGTAGTGTTGCTAAGAGACAGTCGGGACAGTGCAGTTATTCAGATGTCACCAAATAACTGGTCTAAGTAGTCTGCAAGGAGAGAAAAGGTAGAAGGACCTAAACAAGCAGCAGGAAAATACTAAGGCAACACGATGTAACTTTTACTGAGTGACAGCGCCCTCTGCAGCCACACAGGGGGATTTAATCTGCTGGGCTCCGAGTGATGAAGAGTGTTAAGTAAAAAACCCTGAAACAACTGATGGTGTATATTACCCATGATCTCTGGCTTCTGAACCAGAAGAGTTCAGACTTCTTCATATTTTAAAAGTGAAATGGTTTGTAGGTGATGACGTCAGCAACTCCTGCACCAAATCTTGTCACAGCCCACTGCACTGATCAATGCCGCTCGTAGGTACAGTTAAATGATGTCCACCTTGTAACTTCCATCACTGATGTGACCTCAAGGTTGAGCCAAATGTCAACACGGCTCACTGCGCTCACTTTGCTCACTGCCAGAGACGAGAAGGTGTTTCTGCCTCCGCCGGATGAATTATAATGAGCTGCAGCAGTAGCTTCTGCTTCATCAGGAAACAGAGCTGAAATGTCCTGGATTTGGTCGAGTGTCGTAAATTTAAAGTTTATATTTAAATAAAAATGCGTATTAAGTATTAACAGATTTTACTGTTTTTACTGCTCCAGTTGTAGCCAGATTTGAGATTATACGTGTAGTCTGTTCCAGTGGTTCGCAATCTCAAAATATAACTTTATACTCAGCAGCACATTTCAAACTTAAAACATTGAGAATAAAGAAATGAGGATAGAACAAGATGAGATTAGATTTAGTAAGAAATCTAATAAAATAATAATAAGGATTATGTTGCAATTGAAATAATAATAAGCTTCTATTATTGCATCGTCATTACAAAGAGTCCTAATACAGATCTGTAGGGGCCCTCACTTTGAGTCCTGAAACTGCTTCTTTAAAATTGAAATTGAGAAGCGTTTCAGCCATTTTGGCCTCAGGTGATTCAGAGACACTAGTTTCATTTCAATTATATTGTATTATTTTATGAAAGTATAAAGCAGAAAAAAGGAAAAACTCGAGTAAAATATATCTCAAAATTATACTTAAGCACAGTGGTTGAGTAAATGTGTTCACTTCCTGTACATTGTTTTCTTGATGTCATATTGAAATAAATAATGATTGTCAGTAATGTTGCTTATTGTGGTTCTAAGAGACTGAAATGGAGCTGTGGAAACTCCAGTGACCTCTGGATATTTACAATGATTTACAAATACTTCATATGAATACATTTAGACAGTTAAACTTTATTATTACTGTAAACCAAAGTAACACTACAAGTCACCTGCTATGATGGAACAAACTCTTTGATGAGTGACATGTGAGCGCCCTCTTCTGGATTTTACTCCATGTGCATCAAAAAGAAACTTCCCCTGTAAACTCTGATTGCTTCTCCCCCGGCGGACTCAACGGACCACTGACCTCTCACGTTCTCATCTGTTCTCTCCAGGGGACGACCTGATGCGCTGCGTGGACCTGTACAACCAAACCCAGTGCAAATGGTTTGAAGAGATGGTCACCACCAGCATGGTAAAACAAATTTTAAAAAAAAACACGTCAAATGTTATTATTTCATTAATTTAGAGTTTATTATGAAGTGAAAATAATTCTCAAATAATTAAATGTTTTCCGCTGAACAAAAGGACTCGTTCATTGTTTATCTGTATCTGAGAATGATGTTAAATGTTAGATGATAAAGATGGTGTGAATTTGTATTTCTGTGGTAAGAACAAAATACTCCTACTACTGCATTAATACACATTGTTCCTGCATCACTTGTAAGACATTCAATAAGTCTCATTTGGTATAATAACGTTATATTATTATTATTAATAATATACATTTATTTATTAAACTTGCAAACAGAGTTAGTGTCACAGGAACAACGGTTGCTTCATTATATCTGAGTAAACTATGTTTTAATAAGGTCTGAAATTTAAAAAATATATATATTGAGTAGTTTCTTTTGAAGGAGGTGAAGTTGATCCGTTTCTGTATGTTCCTCTTCAGGAGCTGGAGAAACTGGAGGTGGAACGAATCGAGTGGATTCAGCAGCATTTACGTCAGTACACGACTCTGCGACACGAAACAGACATGTTCAATCAGAGTGTGAGTCTCTCTATTTTTCTGCATTTTACTTTGAACTGACTTTGTAATCACTGAAGAGAGGTATGCTAACCTTTCTCAGTGTTTCAGTAAAATCACTGGTCTTTCCAATACCTTCAGACTGTGTAAAAGTTGAGCCCGACTAATACATTTTATCACAAATAATTTTTTTTTTAAATGGAGAATATAAACATATTTGACTCTGAGAGGCTAATATAACTGATAAATCAGTCAGGCTCTATTTAATAGTCTCAAAAATATTATAACTTTTCATAAAATAACATTATGTGGGCAGGTTTATTTTCCACGACAATTGATTTTTTGAAACTAATTTAAAAACAATATATGATATTAATATTTTCTATAAGAGGGATATCTTCAAATCAGTTAATAACCTTAACTGAAAACTGAAAACCTGAATGCTGTGTGCTCGGAGAGGTAACGCTGTCAACACACATGAATGATTTATGTATTTTTTCAGATTAAGAGTGACCTAAGCTTTTTGAGGGTATCATCATCTCTGATGTTCGTCTCCTGTAAATATCCATAAATCTGCCTGGGAAATCTTAAAAAAAAGATGCACCTCTGCAGAGCACACCTGCAGAGCTAGCCTGAGATTCCTTACATTCTGTAGTCTGCTGCAGGATCACAGTGATAGCTGTCGGTATATATCCCTCACTAAACTACAAACAGGAGCTTCTAATAGGTAATTCAGCTTCATTTATTTATTGACATGAATTTGGCAAAATGTGAATAAATGCAGGCTAATATAAGTAGTGAGCATAGACTGTATCTCTTAAAATTTCCTTTAAACATTTTTATTTTTTTCTTATTTCCACATGGGCAACATCATTTACTCAACTCTTTATCTGCATTTCATCAATTGCTCCATAAACTTAGCAAACTGCTATTAGGTTTACAAGTGATTTCAACGTGTCGATGACGATGAATATAGATGTAGAGACAGATTCAGCCATCGCTGTTCATCTGTCAGACGTTCATCCAACACACTAACTGTCATCACTCGGTGCCTCAGTGAAACCCACCCAGATGCTCTGCTCGTCGAGACGGGGGTGTCGAGTAAACCCTGCAAATCTAAGGAGACATATGGTGTCAGCGCTGAGGGAAGATAACATAACCATGAGGGTGTTTTTCTGTGTGCCGCCTGACAAGATGAATTACTCAGAGATGATACGCTCACTACAGATCAACTTAAATGGATGAACTGCTAGTAGAGTGTACATATATCTCTTTCGAATAAAGAAAATATGACTCTAATACTTTTAGTAATGCTCGAAAACTGAAAGGGTACAGCATCGGGATGGAAATGTATTAAGACACTCTATAAGAAAATATGACACTCAAACTCTCAGATGAAAGCTGGAGGAGTGAAGTCATTAAAGTGGATTATCAGCCTTTTAAAGTAAAGCAGCCTTATGCAGCATTATGGCACACTATGGATTTGACAGCTGAAGTCAAAGGCAAGTCATATATTGAATTAGACAATATATCAACCATATTAACATCCGTTGAAACATGACTCCCTGTAATTAATTGTTACTAGTGGAGTTAGTGTTCTATATCTGCCTTTATAAAAAAATAAGCAAGTCTATGTGCTAAGCTAAGCTAACTCTACAAATAATAATTATTATTATATTTCTCATAATGTCAAACTGATCATTTCATCCCTAAAGAGTCCCACTTAGACTGTGTATATAAATGGCCAGAACAACAGCTTCCTGAAAGTGAAGTTCGCCCCCTGGTGGCTGGCTTTAGTATAGGTCCCATAAACCCTGTCTCCACCACGTTAGCAAATGGGACATGATGGACAAGTTAAAAGTCCAGGTCAAAATACATTTTTCCGAAGATGGTTTCTGTCATTTTAGGTAGCTCTTATCACACTGATGTTAAAATGTTCATGTCTCTGATAAGTTTTTGCTTTAAGTATTTATTTGATTATATATAATGCTGATCATTTTACTGTTTGTGTATCTGTAGACGGTGGAGCCAGTCGACCAGCTGCTGCAGAACGTGGATCCAGCCAAAGACAGAGAGCTGTGGGTGAAGGAGAATAAAACTGGCGAGGTTAGACCTGTGGATATGGACATTTGAAACCATGGTGACCTGGGATCAGTCCCACGATCTGTCTTCAGTATTATATAACACGGCGTCCCAGAACATTTCTAACACCACTGGTCCAGGGACGGTGCATGTTCAGACCACAGAGGTCTGCTCATCCTCTCTCTGACTGGAGTAACAGGGGGAAAGGTTCATACTTACAACACAGTCTGAGGCCAGGAAACAGTTACAGATCAAACTACCAGCATGTTCCTTCTAAATTTTAACCCTATCATAATCAACATTAGCTTACTGAATGCCATCTAACTTACTCTGCTGTTTACCTGTTGTAAAGTTGAAACTATTAAAAAATATATATGTATTTTGAATTGTTAAGTTTAGCTTCAATCAACACTTTCACAGTTTGAGTAAACCAAACAAAAATAAGTCTTATTATTGATATTGCCCTTTATTTTAGATACAGATATTAACGCATATGGAGATCGTCGAATGAATATGATATATTTTCATATTTTGCTGGTTCTTTTTGGTGGAAATGCATGTTTTGAATATCTTGCCTTCACTGTATATGGAGAGCTGCACAATTTGTGGAACCATGATGGTTGTTTTGGTATAGTCATTGAATTTACACAAGGTTTTCTGTATTTTGAAAGTGGCAGAATCAATTCTCAGACAAAAAATTGACTTCAAGTGTACAGAGTTAATATCCAGTAACCTCAATACACACACACACACGCACACACACACACACACACACACAGTGTTTTGGAAAGTGAATTTGATTATGCTTACCACATGTCCCAACAGGTAGTTGATCTAGATTTAGGCCAGGATCTTTTTTGGATCAGTCCGGAGTAAAAAGGTGGTCCAAGTTACACTGAAACACCTTTTAGTGCCTAATGGTTATATACCTGGAATGTCCTTAATATATTCTACTCTGCATCAGTGTACATTTGTACATACAGGCTAGATGTATTTTGCTGTCAAATGTTTAACGGGCCGCAGATATTCGGGGCCGCTGAGGTGTTTGTACTGTACAATGTTGTTTGTTTTATTTTTGGTAAATGTACAGAGAATATCTTTATGGTAGTGTTCAATAAAAGGCGTGACATGCAGCAGGAAGCAAAATTGACCAAATTAGAGAGAAGTTCAGGGTTAGGGTTAGTGATTTCTTTTAATTGGATCTATCCAGTGGAGCAAAAGCCAGCTGACTCATCCCAGTTGCAAAAATGCAGCTAAAACACATTTGATCAAATACTGCATGTACACTATATGTCTGTGTTTATAAGTAAGTGTGTCTGTCTATCTGTCTCTGTCTTAACATTTTTTGTGGTCTAACTGCTTTGGATTTATTTTATTACCTTTCTGAAGCCGCTCGTTTCAATTTTTCAAAAGGTTGAGTCCATACCTCCGCCAAGGAGCAACAATCCCCCTATGAAACCATATTTCCATTCACTAGATCCAGTTTTGTTTTTTTATTGCACATGGATGTGTCTAATTTCTTTCATTATTCTTCTCAGAGAATCTGTTGAAAATGTTGGATTTCGCAATGTTAAAGACAATGAGAATAAATTCCTGCATCTGCCCCCTGATCCGGATCCAGACCGAAATCCCCTGGGTCATGCCCCGCCCCTCCACAAAATTGACTGGAAATTGGTTTAGTAGTTTTGGCATAATCCTTTTAACAGACAAGCGTCCTTTTCGGCAGAGGTAAATATTTGAATTATAATTTTCAATCAAGGCACAAGAAATAAAATGCTTACCTGCCTTCTCAACAACACACAGATCATTTACTTTTCAGGAAATTAAGAAAAGTTATTCGAATCAGACGGATTCTGTTTGTTCAGACTTTTGTTTTCATCCAACCAGCTTTGTGAGCAGGCTTCAAATAGCTGATGTGTGTCGTAGAGGTTTTATCAGTGTGTGTCAATATTGTGCACTAAATGTAACAAGTTATGTTCCAACTAAATGTTCTTGACAAGAATGGACAATTTCACGATGACGTAACTTTTGAGTTAACTGCCCCTCTGTGGTGAACATTTTCATAACGTGCATTAAACCCGATGTTCCTGATGTTTTGAGAATGTTTGATCATAGGTGACCTCTGTCCAGATGTTGTACTGTGGAATGCAGTGTCCAAAATAAAATAATCTCCTCTTTGAAAATTAAATATCACGGTATGTCATTATGTAACTGTACTCAGAGTTTGGGATTTTAGAAAATGGGCAGTTATACTTTCATGTTTATCAACCATTGTATTAAGTGCACACACCACCTAACCCTCAGCTGAGGCTTATGACATTTTGGTCGGCTTACAAGCTCACCAAACACCACTGGATCCTGTCCAGGACTTACTGGGAGGGAAGACAGGGCAGGTGGATGGACGCTGTGTTCAGTGTGTAATCAGAACATGTATTACCCTGAGCAAAAGTGAGATTATGTAAAGTCAACTATTCATTCTGCGCAGCAGGACACTAATGTGCTAAAACCAAAACAATCAAATATATTGTTGGACCTGCATGTACCTCCCAAACACTTTAGACCCACCAAGGCATTGATTCTATCTGAAGGGGTACTGTGGGAATCTGGCACCAAGACGTTATCAGCTGAAGTCCTTTAGGTAGCAAGATGGAGCTGTTGTAGATTGGAGCCCCCAACACTCTGTCACTGGTTCATGTTGCCCTTCTTCTGACCAATGTCAGAATTTGGCATCCAACAAGTCATAACATTTCAGGGACATTCATCCATCAACAATCTGACCCTTGTCAAAGTCACTCAGGTCGTTCAACATGTTATTATTTTATTAATGTTATTTTTACTTAATGTTTGAGACATTCTAAGATTTTGATTCATTTTTGTATTTAAGTCTGAATGTATGGGCTCAGGTCCTGTTGTTGCAGTTTCATATAAAAGAAAACCAAACATTTGATTAGACTAGTGAGCTGATTGAAAATCTACCATCTAATTCCACAAATGAAAATAACAGCAATCATTTAAACCTATATATTAATCACACGTGAACAGAAATAAAGCAAATTCAGTCTCATTTTATAAAAAACATTCACAATAAAAACTTCACTGCAGATAAACCAGAAAGGATGAACTCAAAGTTCTGTAATGTCACTCTGCACCATAGACGGTTTATAAAAAGCTCAGCACACATCCGGCACACAAACAACAAAAAGTGAACTGTTTGAGGAGGACTCACTGATGTCAAGGAACAAGTCTGAAGTAGCTCTGGGGCATCAACACAGGCCAGCAGCAAATGTGAAGTTACAAGCAGCCGGTGAGCTTAGCACACCAAAAAAAATCTGCCTACCAGCTGCTTTAAAATGTACTAACATCAAGCATCAGTACAAATGACAGTTGCGTAAAAGTTATATGTCAGAAAATCTTTAGGATCTGAGCCGTGCTGTGTTCCAATTCAGGGGCTACATCCCTCTGAGGTCTAATGTTGTGTGGCCTTCATAGAACATGGAGGGTAGGTCTGGTCTAAGGAGGATTTCCTACTTGCGTCACCAGCTTGTCCTGCTCTTATGGTTGCATAGCTACCGTGAGCCGCTGCACTCACTTCAGTTCGGCATCCCGCATTGCTAGCAAGTTAGCTTCTTCCCCAGTGTTCAGTGAATCCTGGGATAGGTTGGCCAGAGAAGGATCCACCCATTGGATCATGGTACACAAAAAAGAAAGGATGCATTTCTAAGCCACATTCGAAGGAGCCCTTGTGGTTGAACTACACCTGTGACACTGTTGGTCTTTAAATTTAAATGCAGCCTCTGAAGGATGCGGACGCCTGAATTGGGACAAAGCTTGAGAGACAACCTAATATGGAAAAGTGCACCTTTACAAACAACACCAGAGGCGAAAGTCTGTTTTTTGATGTATAATCTGCATACATCAAACTCCACACATTCTGTATGAACCCTTCAAGTTTATTTTATAGATGTTTTACGAGTTGCTAAACCTGTTCATCGGCTTACATCGACAAGGTACCTTAAATGAAAATTGCGATTTTAAAAACTGCACTAAAAGCTTTATCATCTAAATGAGCACAGGACCTGCAGTTTTATTTCTCTCCTTGTCATTTATTTATTGTCGTGATCATCCATCCATCTATATGAAGGCAATGTTTTTGTAAATATGCAGTGTTGTCATTACATATTAGGAACCCCTCAAAAATAAGATGAAGCATCTCAAGCAGTTCATCCAGAGGAGTATTGTGCTACCACATATTTCACGTTTTCAACACCAGACATTCTTATATCAAT